AATGAACTTGATTTTTTAAAGAAGAGAAATGATGCAGAGTTATAAAAGTGGGGTGAAAAGAGAAGCAGTGTACTAATTAAATCCCCAATAGTTAATGGCACCAAATCATTAAAGAAGGACATGATCGACTGAGCATGATTGTTAAAGAAAAAGTACAATTAGTTCTTTGCTACAGAAAAATAGGACATCCAGAGATGTCAGCAGGATGACAGAACAGGACTTTCCAATGCTCATATAAATATCAATTTAAACAGCGTTGCATATACAAAATACCTCCATGAAAGGAAAATGGGTGAGAGAATAGAGCACTTGGGTTTAGTACAGAAATTTGAAAAGATGGGTTTTAAAAGTGTAGGAAAAACAATTTTCATCACATGGCTGACCAGACCCCTAAGACATGGACAGAGATAACATATATATGGTGAAGAGAAGAAAGTGAGCACCAGACTTTGCTCTGGACCCACCACTAGGCAGGTCCATCTGGCCACAAATTCCTAGACCAGTGCCAGGCCAGATCCTGGCCTCCAGAATTTTGCAGTGAATTCAGTCTCCATGCTTGTCCACTACCAGTCAACCTCAGTGACCTTGGGATCAAGCCTTTTCTTAGAACTGTATAACATTCTTAGCAGAGTGAGGATCCCAAGACCAGGTCAAACCCTGATGATCTTAAGTTCTGTACCTGCTCCAACAGGTACAGGTTGGTCCCATGGTCATGGGCACTAGAGCACTTAAAGTCCAGGTATGTTTTAGCAGATCAGTCTCCATGCCAGCCACCATGGGCCCAGGAAACACATCCACACCTATAAACTCAAGCTCCAGGTCTACCCCTGTGCCAAATCATCCCTCATGAACTCAGAGTCCAGACCCAGCTCAATGGACTCAGGCACCAGATCCATCCCAGCAGCTTGGCAATATTCTGAAGATTCAGTCTTAATGCTCATCTCAATACCAGGCTTCAGTCTGAGGTCCCCTGAAACCAGGCTCCAGGGCCATCCCTACACACTCATAAATCAGGTTAACCCCAGAGGATCCATCTATCTGCTAACCCAGGCACCAGGCCATCCTGCCCAAGGACTCCAGAAGCAATTCCAACCTTGGGACAAAACCAGAAGGATGGGTCAATACCTCTGGACAGGCTGACTGCTAAAGGGTGTTCCCAGACAAAGCCAGACTACAAAAACTAGAATGAGTTACTTCATCTTCAAATGTGCAAAATTCAATGCAAGGAAACAAGAAACTCACACACACACACACACACACACACACACACACACATACACACATCAAAGAGATAAAATACCACAAAAAAAAAAACCCCTATAGTAATCTCCCAGTAGCTGACCCTAAAACATGGACATATATGAACAGCTTAATAAATAATTTGAAATAATTTCTTTAAGAAAGCTCTATGAACCTCAAGAAAATTAAATAATAGTAATGTTCCAAATTTGGGGGGAAAGATAAATATCCAAGTACATAAAGATAAAAGTTCTCCAATCAGATTCAATCCACACAAAACTAACCAAGACATGTAATAATCAAATTATCAAAAATCAAGCACAAAGAGAGGATTCTGAAAGCAAGAGTAGAGACTCCAATGACATGTTAGGAAGTTTGATTAATTCTAGCATGGATTTTTCATAAAATGCTTTATAGGTCAAAAAATAATGTGACAACTTATTTGAAGTGCTAACAGAAAAAAAAAATACTGTGATTACTGTGTCTTCAAAGCTGTCCTTCAGAAAAACAAAAGTGGGTGGGGCTCATTATCACCAGATCTTCCTTATGAAAAATGCTAAAGGTAGTTCTGCAAGTTGAATTAATTAATTAATTTTATTTGCCCATCAAGATAATTTAAAAATTATAAAATTATATGCACCCCAAATAAAAGCACCTACATATATGTAAAGCAAACATTATTAGACTAAAAGGAAAACAGAGGCTGTAATATATTAACAGTAGCAAATCTTAGTAAGAACAGATCAACAGAGAGAAAATGAATAAGGAAACATAGGATGTAAAGTAAACTTTAGATAAAATGGAGCTAACAAAAATATAAAGAACATTCCATTCAACATCATCACAATACACATCCTTTTCAAGTGTACAAGGAACATTCTCCAAGATACATTATATGTTAGGCCTAAGAACAAGTCAACAAATTTAAGAAAACTGAAATCACAAAAAGTATATTTCTTGAGGGATAAAACTACATACTTACAACAGAGGAATTTCAGAAAATTCACAAATACATGGAAAATAATTAGCATGCTTCTCATAAAAACAATGGGCAAATAAAATTTTTTAAAATATTTTTTAAAAATATTAGGATGAATGAAAATCAAAGAAMAACATAACATAATTTATGAGATAAGGGGGAAAAAGCAGTTCTAAGAGGAAAATTTATAGCAAAGAACACTTGTATCAAAGACAGATCCAAATAAACAATATTATCACTCAGAGAACTAGAGAACAGTAACAAAGATGTTCAAAGTTCTCAGAAGGAAATAAATAATAAAGACCAGAGCAAACATAAGTAAAATAAAGACAAGAAAGTTTAAAATACCAAAAAAACCCCTAAGAATTGTTATTTTAGAAAATCGAATCCATGAACTCTTATATAGACTACGAAAAAGGATAAAAATTTAAAAAGACAATATTACAATTGATAGTACATAAATACAAAGGACCATAAGAGATTATTCTGAATAATTTTAAACCTGGAATTATAAAACAAAAAATAGATAAATTTCTAAAAATCATACAAACTACAAATACTGAATCATGAATATATAGAAAATTGGATCAGATCAATAATAAATAAGGTGATCAAAAGAATTCCATAAAAGAAAAGCCCAGGACCTGATAGTTTACTGCTGAGTTCTATTAAACTCCTTTAAAAGGAAATACTAACAACAGTCCTCAAACACCTCCAAAATATTTAAGAAAAATAAATATTTCCTAACTCATTTAAAGAGCTTGTGTTATCCTGATACTTGGTATACTGGCTTTGAGCCAGACCAGGACATTGCAAGAAAAGAAAGTTGTAAGTYAATATCCGTGATGAATGTAGTTTCAAAAAATCCTCAACAAAATACTAAAAAACTCAGCTCAATAATGAAAAAAATCCAATAAAATAACTAAATTATATCCATCACTAACTGCTTTATTCATCTACCCCAAAAGCATAATATCCTGTAATATTACCCAAAAGTGAATAAACCATCAAACTATGAACTGTGAGGAATACCAAGATATATACTTTTTATAAGCTGTGTCCTCCTTAGAAGTGTGTTTACAGTAAGACTGTAAAGACTTCATGCACAAATACTATAGTATATGTCATGATAGCCTGDTACTTTAATCTTTATCAATAGAATTTCTTTAAAAGCTCCTATAAGCCAGGAATTACTCTTGACCCTAACAATCAAAAAAGTGAATAGAACACATAAATCAGATAATAATAAATTGATGGTTGTTATTAATAAGCTGTGATAATTGGGGTTATCAATGATTACTATGGGGTAAAAAGATGCAATTTAAATGGCATAGTCAGGGAACTCTTGCTAGACTCCAACCCCCACCATCTCGCATAGTATCCTGTGACTTAAAAAGGAAGAGAAAATACTTCCAGATGGAGTGGTTGGGAGAAAGTGTGTTTTGAACAAAATTATAAATAATAGAGAAGTTTTTGTTTAAATGGTTGGTAGGATATAAGTTGGAAATTAAGGAAATGGTCATATTGGTGGTGTATAGCCAGGAACCAAGCCCTACCTAGGGAAGGATTACWTAGGGTTTCTACAGGACATAGGTTATAAGATATGTAATACACAGAATTCTTAATACAGCAATTACTAAATAATCATAGTTATAGGAATAGTGTGCAAACCAGAAGTGTTTTTAAACAGTACAAAAAATAACAGCAGTAATTTAATAYTTTAAACATATAATTTCTATTTTTTTCTAACTTTAATTGCCTTCTTACTAAAAGTTTTATTCCTTCCTATAAAACATAAATTTTATATATGTTTTATCTGATTATATTTTCTAAATTTTTATTAAAAAATTCCTAATGTTATGTTAAGATTATTTTAAGTAATGTGTCATGTGGACTTATTCCTAGAAAAATCTTTTCGGGATATTTCACCTTTTGAATAGAGTAAGGAATATAAACTGGGATTAAGAAACTGTATCTTCTTTCTAATATGAAGATAAATTGGCTTTAGCCCATGCAGCAGGTGACAAATTAAAATTAATTAGCAACAGATCTGGAGATAAGACAACACTTCATCATGATATATTTCCTTGTCAAAATGAGAATAATGTGAACTTATATATTGGTGATGATGTTTTATTAAAAAGAACCAAAAAAGGACAAAAAGCATGAGTTAAGTGTTAAAAAAGAGAGAAATATGGTAAGAGAAGCTTCTTTCACGTTCTTCCACTTATAGGAAATAAAGTATCAAATGATGAAGTTCATCACACAAATATTACATGTTGGAGAGCCACCATCTTTGGAAAGAGGATAAAGAATGGAAAATATAGATAAGAAGAAAACATCTAAAAAGAATAGATTATGTCTCTCATGTGGAACTAGCAAAAGTTCAAGAATGCCAGTTAGAATGGCCTACAACTGCAGTCCCAGCAATTAGAAAGCCTGAGGCAGGAGGATAGCAAGTTTGAAGCCAACCTCAACAACTTAGTGAGGCCCTTAGCAACTTAGTGAGACGCTATCTCAAAAATAAAAATAAATAAATAAATAAAGGACTGAGGAGTTCAATCTCTAGTGCCAAAATGAGGGGGGAAAAAAGAAAGCAGGCTCAAGATGATGTAATTTGAGGTGGAGTGTGCCAAATCTTTCATCTCTGTCCCAGCATTTCAGGCAGTTTTTGAGTGTCAGGAGAAACAGCTGATTGGTGAAAAACTTAAATTCTAATATAAGATTATTATTTTGAGATTACATATCAAAATAATGATTATCCTTAATTTTATCCTTAACATTACATATCAAGASTTGGTGGCTGCCACCTTCTCCCTATTGTCTTCATAGCCTCTTTGATGTCCTTGTTCCTCAATGTGTAAATTATAGGGTTCAGCATGGGAGTAACAACACTATACAATACTGAAATCAGTCTGTCTTTCTCCAATGAGTAAGATGAAATGGGCCGCACATATGTGAAAATGGCACTACCATAATAGAGAAGGACAATGACCAGATGGGAGGCACATGTTGAAAAGGCTTTGAGTCTCCCCTCTGAGGAGTGGATCCTCAAGATGGTAGAGATTATGTAAAGATAGGAAAGGACAATGCACAGTAAAGGAGTCCAACCAATGAAGCCTCCAATGTACAGCAACACCAGTTCATTGACAGAAGTGTCCCCACAAGACAAGATCAGCAAAGGGGGTATGTCACAAAAGAAGTAATTAATCTGGTTGTTGCAGAATGGCAGACAGAATGTCAGTACTGTATGCACCACTGAATTGAGGAAACTACCAATCCAACATGAGGCTGCTAACTGGCTGTACAGGGCCTTGTTCATAATAACTGAATACCTTAAGGGTTTGCAGATGGCAATGTAGCGATCATACGCCATTGCTGCCAGGAGGAGACACTCTGATCCTACAATGAAAATGAATGCAAAAAGTTGAGCTACACATCCCCCAAAGGAAATGCTCTTCTTCTCTGATACAAGATGTACCAYCATCTGTGGGACATTGGTGRTGGTTTAGCAGATATCAAGAAAGGCCAGGTTCCTTAGGAAATAGCACATGGGTGTATGTAGGTGTGGATCAGCCATTGTSACCAAGATGATGAATATATTTCTTCCCAAAGTACATATATAGGTCAGAAAAAAGATGGTAAATAGTAAAAACTGCAATTCRTTCAGGTCAGAGAATCCCAAGATGATGAATTCAGATATAGCTGTTTGGTTCTTTCCTTCCATAATGTTGTCTGATTTCCTCTGGGGAGTTGGGCAAAGAGAAGCATAGATTACAATAATCATATGTTACAGTAGCAATGGTCTGAAAAACAGGAAAGCAAAATGTTACAGATAAAATATTACTATCTATATCTGGTAGTAAACCACAGGAGCAACACTCATATACTATGACTCATACCGGCCACCCAACACATATGTAAAAACTTTCAGTGTTTCACTTGAAAATCATCTCCCTGTATAAGATTTTAGGTGTAACAGCACTGAATATTTTTAACTGAAAGCAAATCACAAGGACTGGTGTTGTAGCTCATTGGTAGAGCACTAATCTATCATGTGTCAGGTACTGGGTTTGATTCTCAGCATCACATATAAATAAATAAAATAAAGGTCCATCAACACCTAAAAAAAGCAAATCAGGCTGGGGATGTGGCTCAAGCGGTAGCGCACTCACCTGCCATGCATGCAGCCCGGGTTCGATCCTCAGCACCACATACAAACAAAGACGTTGTGTCCGCCCAAAACTAAAAAATAAATATTAAAAAATTCTCTCTCTCTCTCTCTCTCTCTCTCTCTCTCTCTCTAAAAAAAAGCAAATCAAAAAAGGGCAATGTACATCCTAAGATTCTCTGTTAATAATACCTCTGTCAAGCCTATTTACATTTTCTTGGTGATGTGTAGACATGTGTAGCAGAAATAGTTACAGAAAAACCTCTCTAGCCTTCATTACCTTCTGCAAAGCTATCTCTACTCCTCCTTTCCATCCTTACATGCAGGACAAAACTTGTCTTTTTTTCTGATTCAAATTAATGTGTTCGTTTTAGAATATGTTGAAAATATAGAAAATAATTTTTAAAAATATTTTTAGTTGTAGATAGACATGATACCTTTATTTTGTTTATTTAGTTTTATGTGGTGCCAGGGATTGAACCCAAGGTCTTACACATGCTAGGCAATTGCTCTACTACTGAGCTACAACCCCAACCCAAAAAGAAATTTTTAATAAATATAATACTTAATGTTCACAGAAATGTTTTGTGTCTGTGTTTCAGATCAGTTTTCCATATGTAAATATTCAAAATGAGGATCAGAAAMGTATGTMTTTTAACCTGMTTTTTCYTTAAGCACTGCATTGTAATAGATTTTCAGGGCAATAAACCCTATGAAACATGACCTTTGAGTTGTAAATAATTTATCTTAATTCTTTAGAACTTACATAAATGATAAGGGATTAATGATCTTTAGAGTGACAGCATCYTGACTTTGAAATAAGTCAGGAAAGTTGGTCTGACATTAGGTGTAACAGAGAATCTTCAGTAGTCTAAAAGTAAAAGTTAACATGCAACTATGGATCATTTTTACCTGTTTGTTACCTAYATCTCAGATTCTAATCAACAAGATTGCTCAATGTTAGAAGTAGTTTAAGAAAAGCCACTGTTATTAGTGGTGAACATTTGTATTTTTTATTTACTTATTTCTGTTATAATAAATTTCAATAATAAGCATGCTGAATTAGATTCTCTGAATTTGGGGTCAGGTTACTTGCATTTCTGCAAATTTTCAAAGAGACCCACTGGTGCAGATCATCTGTCTGGAAAATTCAAGAGCCATTAGGTTTATTCAAGATTCTGTTGCTGTTTAGACAAATCATTTTTAAGTGCTGAGTGGAGAAGTTTACCAATAATCTCTAAGCACTTTCTACATGTCATCTCATTTACTCTGCACATATCCAGTGCGATAAGTAATTTCATCACTGCCATTTTCCAGATGAAAACAGAGTTTCAGCAAGAAAGATATCTGGCAGAGTTTACACAGTTAKCTAGGTGAAAATACATTTTTATCTCAATATACATACATTGAGTGGTAGAAAATTTGATTCCCTTTAATGACAACAGAATCCTCTTTAAAAATACTTTTCTGGTTTTAATGAGACTTAAGTTCATACAATTAAATTATTTTAACTATGTAGTCACAAACTTATATGACTTGTGCTCCCAGATGTTAATAATTTATGCCACAGCATCTTGATGGTTAAATCTAATTGTTACCAAATATCTGGTCTTTCACTTTAATGTGTTTATTTAAATAATAAAGATCCAGTGCAGTTGTTCACCTTCCTGCCCAAATGAACATTAAATGTTTGTGTTTTTGTTACTAAGGATGCTATTCCACAGTTTAGCTTAAGTCAGTTAATTAAAATGTTTGGTAAAATTGTGGGGATAATTATTATGTAAATGAATCTAATTGCCACACTGTATTCTATCAATATGTATAATAATAGAAAAATAATTGTTTAAAAATTTTCAAGTTATTGGTTGGGAATATAGCTCAGTGGTAGAGCACTTGCTTAGCATGCACAAAACCCTGGGCTTGATACCCAGTAAAATACACCCCAAAAAATATTCAATTTCAAACTCAAGGAAAAAAGTTAATTTTGTAGTTTGCAGTTTGGTTTCTATAAGTCTACAAATTATAGAAACCAAAAAACATAAATAAAATACCATGTTTAAAAATAAAAGTACATATTGTATTTTTATTCAAATATATGTTTCATTGATTATCCTGGACTACAGAAAAAATATACATTTAATTTTAAGTTTGGAATGTAGTACATTTGTTCTTTTGTTTTAATTGATGTCCTCACTGCTTGTGAACTACTGTGGACATTTTCAGTGGAAGTAGACGACAAATTAGATGAAGGTTTAAATTTTCATAATATAGTATCTCACATTGTTACTAGAACTAAATAAATTTTCTAGTATAATTTTCTCTCAATCCAAAATTCCTGTTCCCTAATCTATCTCCTTTTCTTTTCCTAATATCTTCCTCCCCTTTCTCATTTTTTAAACATTTCTTTCTACTCCTAGGAAACCTTTTCTGCTCATTTTATTCAACAATTATATGGCAGTATGCTCCAAAGATAAAATAATAAGCATTAGTGTATAAATTACATATAATGTATGTGATGTATATATAATTTATATGCTTTAAATTTTAGCCATATAATGTACAACTTATATGGCTAAACATAAAGTATACTAAAGACAAAATAAGAAAAACAGAATTTAACTTTATCTCCAGGAGTATGCACATTGAAGATTATGCATAATTTAAAAAATATCTAACAAAAACAATAATAATTATTTTAAAGTAGAAAACAGAAGGGATAGACTAGTATGGAACCTAGTTACCAAAAAGTTCCAAGAGAAAATGTGTCTTGCAATCTCAATAATGAACAGGAGTTAAGTAGTTAAGGCAAGGTGAATGTAGAAAACTTTCCATACACAATTAAGAACATATGCACAGGTC